CACTGAATATTGTTGAAGGCTAATAAAAAGTAGCTACTTAGGTAATCGTCCAATAATATTAGCACTCAAACAATACTATCAAAAAAAAATTTTTTTCTAATATAACAATAATAGTTATATTTTTTTTTTCATTAACAAATTAAGTAATTTTCGATAATATCGTTTGTATTATTCTATCTTACTAGTAATTTTCGATAATATCGTTTGTATTATTCTATTTTCCAGTTTTCACTGTCCGAAATTGAGGACAATTTTATAACAATGGTTAATAAATCTAGATCTCAGTATTATTGCTTCTTTTTTGCTTTTTGCTTACAGTAGTGCAGCATAAAATACAAAAAACGACCAAGTATATTCCAATTGGATCTGTACCATAAATAACCATTCAAATAATCTGTTAGTTAAATGAGAAAGCTAACTCATATTTTATGTCTCCTATCACATATAAAAAAAGTGAATTTCTGTTCAATCTGAATTCACCTCTGGAATTAACTTTTTTTTTTAATCTTCTAGTAATGATACTCTATAGGAAAAAAATAATAAATTCGTCAGTCACTAGCCGTATGTGTACATTAATAGTAATGGTATAAGTAATTAAAAAAAAATGTACCGACTTCAAATAAATCGGATTAAAGAAAAACGAAGAGAGAAATAATACCACAAAATTTTATCCTCAATAAAATCGAAGTACAAAAGGTTGGTGCCAGCCGTATTATTAGTAAGAAGTAAAATAACACTATAAAAAAAATATTTTTTTTCTTACCATACATGATATTTTTATTATAAATATCTGGCACTGTCCTCAACAAAAAAAAATGTTGGTATATCTACTTTTTGTGCTTCTATTTTACTGAAGATAAAAATTTGTGGTATTATTTATCTTTCCTTTTATATCCTTTTATAAGTACCTTAAATTTTAATAGTTTAGCGGTCAGTTGCACAAAATTTCATTAAGGTTTAGTGACGAATTTGTATTGGTAATGTCGCTTTAATTAAAGTAATGAAAATTTTAATGGAAGTTTGTGCAACTGGCTGTATGTTTCGAAAACTACTAAATTGATTTTGATGAAACTTATAGTGTACCCTAAGTCCCGTCTCCACTGGAGAGGCTCGGGACTTCGTTATGGTTGGTTAAGGAGGTTGGACCATAACCCTACACGCTGGCTCAATAAAGATTGTAGGGTATTAACGACAGCAAATACCTCTAGATAATAATTTTCTGGTCACCCATCCTGTGACAGACCCTTGCGAAAGTTGCTTAACAACAAAGATCGCCTATTCACTACGCCACCGAGCTACCATTCCGCCCTCCATATACGAACCTCCCAGGCAGTTGCCTAGGCAGTCCCCCAAATACGAGGCAGTTGCCTAGACAGGCAATATGGACGGGCCGGCCGAAATTGAATTCTAACTGATCATAGTAAAGCTAAACGAACTAGCACACAACGGTTTCAGATCCCACGCACGATAGTTTACTTTCACATTCAAAATATTATTACAGGGAAACATATATTCCTTCACACTTGACAATATATTTAGCTCGTCTATAACAATAAACGTGATATCACTCGCACATGTTTATATTTTATACATATTCATTTTACGCCTATAACTATAGTTTTAACAAATCAGATCCTATTTGAGTCAATATTTAAAGACTTTAAGATTATATGGTAGTAGACGCTACATCGTTTCAAGACAATTAAGCTTTAGAAAGGTTATCTTGGCTACTGATAATAAAAAAGAGTCGGCACTCTAATTAACGAATGCTTAGTCCGACACATGCTTGAAATATTTTAATGGACATGAAGGCAGGACCAAACAATTAAGACGTTCACTCTGTGTTTATTAGAAAGTAGGCGGAATACTTATGACGTCATCGTGTATGCACTGACAATGTTAATAATATAGTGCGTTAATATGTATGGGTGTCTAATTGTAGAACGAACGTGTTATTAAAATGAAATTGAACCAGATGGATTTATTGTAAGTCAGTCTTTAGGTTTTGGGGTGCGACCACCTAACCACGAGTCGAGCAGTAGAAAGCGACATATTAGATATGTTATGATGAAATTTCGTTACATTTCACTACTTTGACATGTAACTGGTTAAATAAACACAAACGATTATAGATTTGACAGCAGTGTAACAGAGTTGCACAAATGTCCATTATTGTCATTTAAGTAATCACAATTATAATGACTATTTGTTTAAAGCGACATTACCGATACAAATTATCAAATTAAGAACATTGTCTGAGCTTTAAGTCGTTATTAAAATTTAATAGTCGTTTGTGTAACTGACCGTTAGTTACTTAAACTTAAAGTTACTTATTCAAAGACATGTAGTAAAATTAAGCGAAATATTGGCATAACAACGCATATCCATGGCTCGTGAGTTACGTAGTTAGTTTTAAAAAGGGATAGCGATTTTGTAGCGCTTTATGAAATTATGTAACTTTTAAAGTTGCAATCGCTTTTCGAACGAATGATGATTTGAATGATCTAGACACATAGTAAAAATTTAGTTAAACCCTGTGATTAAACCCATTGAAAGATTGCAGTTAGCAAACAACTCTTTCGTTTGATATTTTTCAATAGCTTTTAAGCATTTATAATTTTGCTTAGGTGATTCCAATTGACGAAATCGTTCATTCAATATTATTCAAAAAGAACATTGCGCTCGCATTCGCTATCACTAATAGTTGTATTGGATCGTCGAGTTTCAAGGTAACTAGAAAGTTTATCGATTTAAAAATGACGAATTTATGGACTTGGTCACACTTTACTTAAAGCGATTTTTACATAGGATTCGAAAAGAAAATAGCAGAAAAAATTTACTTTAATTAATTCGTCCATTAAGGTTTAATGACGCCTTTAAGCTCTAAAGAATGTCAAATTTGTATAGGTAATGTCAATTTACTAATGACGTCGCTTTGATAATTTTAATGGACGTTTGTGCTACTGGATGAAAGATTTCTATATTTAATGATAAGGCTTGAAACAAATTTAATTATTTTTCGAAAGACTCAAATGAAAAGTGGACTGAACGTAGTACTTAAGCTGTATACCTACATATTTTAGAAGAATATCCTGTATAAAGCAACCTATGCATTATACAGGAGATAGATAAAAATTAATTAACTATTGTGGATGTTTTTACGAATGTAGGATATAGAATACAGTTTTTGGGACAGCGCATGACAATCACATCCTACTCGAGTGAGATTAAAGGCGGATGTCCTGTTATCTGCAGCGCGTTGTCGCATTGATATGTCACGTCTAATGACGTGATGATGCTTGTGTTTTACCCCTCGTGTCGGAACGTTTTAAATTTAAATAATTTCGTATTAATATGTAAGTTGCACAAGTGATAAATTTGAAACGTGACAATGCCCATAAATAGATGGTTGAGTGAAAATATCATCGTGCATTCTGAAAGTAAATACTTATGATGCCGTCTCATTGTTCCGTTTCGCATTACGATTTCATATCTTCTGTGTATTATTATAACGCCGTACCCAATGATTGACGTACATTCATTAATCAAACATCAACGTTCATTTTATAAACAATATTAGTATCAGTACAAGTTGTTGAACTTCCGACGATCGAGTATAACATAGAAAGCTATATAGCTGTTGACGAACACTAGTCCGAAAGATTCATGGAGAATTTTGTGCGTAACGTTTCGTGAAAGAAATGTCTGGGGTGGCTTCAAATTTCCGCAAAAATGCGGCATAGTGGGGTGTTCTCCCGAATTCTGTGTCGTTGTCGCCCCTGCAGAGAGGGGAACGCGGCACGTGTGGGAGGGGGACTGTTGCCGCGGGGACGGGAGGAGGGTTGTCGTAGGGTGACGGCTGCGGCTGCGCGTTGGCCGGCGCAACCCCCGGGAACGCCATGTGCGTGCTCTCTCCAAATCTCCCCTCATCGTCGATACCCGTATTTAGGGTTGCCAATCGTATTCAAAAATAGAGTTTTGTACTCTATATCATGCCTAGGCTATGTAGCTTTATATTCTATACCACTAATAAACGACGCTAAAATACTAATTTTAGGGTTCCATAGTCAACCAAGAACGCTTATCGTTTCTGTTTAGTTCAAGAACGATTGATAATAGAAAGTTGTATCACGTTAATAACGCTGACAAAACGGTAAAATAAACTTTGAAAAAATTTTCTTCGCCCTAGTGTGGGGTATCGTTGATAAGTCTTTTAATATTGGAGGTGTGCGAAGACCGTTTTTCGATTTAGTTAATCGTTCGTGACTTATTAAGCATAAATGCCAATTTTCGTTAAAGTCAAGCGGTCCCCCTCTACCGGTGGTTGTAAGAAATTCAAACGACATGGCAGTAGTACCTATAATACTTAAGTTGGCCGTTGAGTCCGATTCGCACGTGGCCGGTTTTTTCACAGTATACTTATGATACAGTATATTTTTTTTTAAAGTCCACCCTCTTTATTTACCTCCTTTGAAATCAGGTATACACTATTTATTCAAATAAAAGTGGGCAACCCTACTCGCACCCCGCACTGTTCCGAAGTTCGATTCCTACAAGCTCCCATTGAAGCTCTAACGCGTGATTGTCGTCATAGCAACCATGCTCTTGACTCGATCATGTTCAATGAGTGTGTGTTACATGATATTGCAGAATAGCTTTAATATTGTAGAAAATAAACTTCGTTCCTTTGTTTATTAATTTTTTTTCTTGATATAAGTTATGCTGTGTTTAATGCCAGTTTTCACTATAATCTCTCGACTAAATATTTAGGAAGCGCATAAGGTTAACTACATTTCACCAATAACTCGGAACAACCACATGTGTTATGCGACGCCTTGCGCTAAGGCGTTTGCGTAAAATGGCATATCACAAATGTCTCGAGGATAAAAGATATCTGCTTGGCGATTTGTAAGATTAGGCATTTCCTAGCTTAGGCTATGGCTTGTTCTAGGTCGGTTCTAATTAAAATTTACCTATGATAATAAAATTAAGGTACTAACCATTGGCGGATCGAGCTGCAGGTGATGTGGCCTCCTTGCTTCGAGCATTTTCTTTCTCCTTCCCATTGTTCCCTAGGACAATAAATGATCGATAAGCACATTATATCTAAGGCATAACAGAAAATTTCACAAGATCTGTTATGTTCCTATTGGCAAAATAGTACCAATTGGATATATATATTGACTTAAACAGTGTTATTACAAAAAAGATAAACACGCGTTGAACACGTGTTTAAAAAAAATTCTATTACAAAATCGTATTTAGGCATTGGTTAAGGCTAAACATCCCTTAAACATTGTTTAAAATATAAACACTCGTTGAGAGTTGTTTAACGCGTGTCTAACCTCAAAATAGGTTGCGCTTTGTTGAAAATTCATCCATATTTTTAAGATAAAGATTATATTGATATGGTCGATTTAGATTACATGGAAAGCTTTTAGGACGCGTAAGTAAAGCGAACACGAATTAATCCATTTGAGCAATACAATGAACTTTGATATAAAAGAAAGTACATATTTAGTGGATTGTTTGCTGACAAAATATATGAAATTATTTAAGGCGATATTCCACATAATCCTCGAGATGAAAGTATAGATCTGCAAATAAATACACGTAGCATGTGCATGTGTGCATAGCTTCTGTGTCAGTACACAGCTTGTGAACATGTGCGGCGTTGGGTTCGGCATCAGGTAGTCGTTGTTCCGTTTCTTCATATTATTTCGCTATAGTTTTACTTAACCTTACTCTAATATGAATTATGAATAGAAGTGCCAGTTTAAAAACGTTAATTTTGTACTTTCTTTTTTACTTTTGAAAGTTATTAGCTAATACGTTATTGAACATATCTTTTTACGATTAGAATTTATCATAAGTCTGAATAAGATGTGCATATAATGGAACGTGAATGAACGAATGAAAGCCAACTGAACGAATGCTTTACGGGTTGCATGTTTAAATCAGCGTTAGTTAGACTACGACTAAAAATGGATTTGTAATAGACAAAGTTAAACATCATTTTAAACAGGGTTTATATTCTTAGACATTGTTTACTTAAACACATGGTAAAACCCTGTCTAACATCTCTTTTGTAATAACACTGTAAATTTTTACACGAAATGCAATTTTATATGAAAGTGTATTATCCTGTAATGGCAACGGGGACTTTCGCATTGGAACATCATTATCCTTATTGTTATGCTGCTTATCTAATATATATATAAACACGAGTGATTGTTTCAAACTCGTGTTTGAGTGAAAAAAATATCCCTAAAGTCTGTATGCACTCGAGTTATCGAGTTAACTCGGCGCATCGAATTGCTTCTTTTGCCACTGGATGTCACTTTGCTACTGTAATTATTATTCTATGCCGCTTATTTTTTATTTTTTTTTATTACATAAATAAATTACATGTCAAAACTGTTTTAACATGTGTTTTATTTATATTATGTATACATACATATTATATTATGTATAAAATAAATACACATAATATAAACATTTTGAAATTTTAAACAAGATGTCACTTGTTCAAAATTTCAAAAGAAATCTCACTCCAGTAGCACGTTTGATTTATTTTTAGCTCGAGTCACTCAAAACTCGAGTATGACTCGATTGAGGTAGTTAATTGGCACGAGTGACTCGAGTCACAAAATCCTACTCGAGTCGCATCACTAGTCGCAGGTTTAGTAACCATACTACTCCGAAAAGGCTTGATTGCGAAAAGTATACGAGCGCGCTATATTTATTATATCCCATATTATAATTATATAATAAATATACGTAGGTACAGTTCATATAATTATATCCTATATAATAAATATACGTACGTTCAATTGAGAAATTATATTTCGACGCTTAAGAACCAAGACAAAACCATCTACAGAAAATCGATTTTACAGGAGACGAAAAAAACGTTTCATATTTGTTCATTTTTATATCTGATCAAGTGATCATTTAATGGATAGGCATGGGAAATAACATGTATTTCAAGAAATCTTCATTAGTTTCAAAATTACTGTAGATAGCTGGTATAAGTTAAAATACTTGCGTAGGTTTATGCAGCTTACTGTAATATACTTAGATTGTATTGGCAAACTAAATAATATAGATTAAAGACTTTAATCAAACAAAAAACTGTTAGTTTTATCATAATTTTCAAACTAGAAATTACGTGTTCTCTGTAGATAGGTGGTATTTCCATACAATTATTACGATACGTAACTTAGGTAGTATAGGTATTTTCTCATAAATCCTTATTTATTGCGAACTTGAAGTAATCGATTAAAGGAAACGATGCGTAAATTAACCATGCAAAGAAAATTGCCAAAAGCGTAGATAGATGGTCTTGGTTCTTAAGCGTTGATTTGCTCTTAACCAATGTTTATTTCTTTTTTTTTTCCTTTTTTTTATTGATATGTCAAAATGAAGTCCCCAATGATCGGCCAGACACAATTTTGTCACATCAAATAGGACTTCAGTTATGTGCAAAAAGAACGGTAGAGCCGCTGAGTTTTTAAGATACACGATAAATTCCATTCCATTATGCAAATGAGAAAATATCAAATGTATATAATGTACTATTTTATCGTGATAGCAATGAAATGTTTTGTAATAAGACTTACATAACAAATCTTCGAGAACCTGTCTTGTTTATAACATAATGTATCTTATCGGACAATTCAATAAGTATTGAAACATAACAGCGGAGTCACGTAAGTCTTTCTCGGTAAAATGGTCATCGTCAGAATTATTACGTTGAATTAATATCTTGGGTGTTTGTTCATTTAGACAAAAAACGTAATATATTATCGTAGGTAAACTCAATGTTGAATTCATAGCAGGTAAATTGTTACATAAATGATTATATCATTGTAATATACAGGAAAATTATTTATATAATGCACACTCATTATTATTCTCGGTAAGAAAATGTTGCGTTTTAATTGCATCAATATAGGTAATTTTAACAATTTTAATGACATGAAATTGGTAACTTAGGCATTGAATTTTACAATCCCCATTCTAATATCTTTTTTCTTTTTATGGTTTAATTATATCAGCAGTCTGATAAGCGGAGGGATTTTTCCCGTAATGATTTCTTAGTTGAAATTTTTTATAGAGTACTTCGTTAGATCGAATCTTCTTTTCTTATATTAGATAGAGGTTTTCTTAATTGATGTCTTCGCGGGATTAGATTCTTCTTAAACGATCTTCTTTGTATTGGATTTTTATTAATCGATTTTTCCTTTGGATTGAATTTTCTAAGTTAATTTCTTTTCTAAAATCTATCAGATTTTACTTCAATAATGTCTACGTTGAATTGGATCCATACTAGATTTTAGGTTTTAGATTATTCTTAGTTGATTTATTTTGAATTGGATTTGATTAATCGATTTCTAAATGGATTGAATTTTCCTTGTTATGGATTTTTCTAATTTCTTTTCTTCTTAATATTTTTTCTATAGTCCTGGATTTTTTGATTGTTTTGTTCGTGATGTTATTGCATTAGAACTGTATCGTATGTCACTTTGTAGAATAGGAAAACCATTAAAAACTGCTGTTTCGTTCGGTTTCGATCCGTTTTCGATTCGATTTAAACAAAATTTATTTAGTAGAATTGGCCCCTTGGTAAGCTATACAGATGTACAACATGTCTTTATCCTTCTCGTTGTTTAAATAGAATTTATAAAAATACGTTTGGTATACTACTATGTTTCACCATTATAGATAAAAAGTGACATTAACACAAAATGAAATAATTTTTGATAAAAATGTTATCAAAGCTTAAATAGATACTTATATTGTAACGCAGATATTGATATCGAAGGCTTTACCTTTGGTTATACACAAACCACAATCAGTCTGGTTTTATGTCAATGGAAAATTATTTGCTATGTGATTTTACGTTTTATCTATGTAAGTTTATGACAGTATGAAGATAACAAACACATGTAAGAGTTAGGAGTTGTCAAGTGATTTTCAAAATCGAATTTTTTGTTATATATTATGATTATCTATTTTGTTGTCACATGAATAGTTGACATTATAGAGGCGATTATTAAATCTTGTGGGGGTCTCTGTGTTTAGTGTTAATTTTAAAATTAAAATCGTACGATACAATTTATGTAGCAATGGTTGCATATTGCTACGTGAACTCATAGCAATATTTTTTTAAAACAAGTTTTTATTTGCTTTATTGTATTCTATAAGTTAAGACCTTTCATTTAATACATTGGGTGGGTTAATCCGATTTATGAACGCCGCCATTTTCTTATGGCGATCATTTTGTATTAATAATATTACCAATTATATATAATTGCATTGTCATCAGAACGAAAGGTATATTGAAAAATTCAGCTAAAACGAAGACTGGGAAGTGGATGAAATTTAGCTTGCAAGATTTGATTAAAGTAAGACAAACATCGGGACAGGTGAAGCTAAATAAAAGCTCGTAACAGTGAGCGATAAGTCATCAGTATTAACTTAATTCCTGTAAACTAAATATAGCTGAATCAGTGTCCAAAAGATCCCCTTTGCAGACCACTAATATGATACCTATGCGAAGTTACGACCGGTTCCGAGCGAACGTTCACCCCCGGCGCGCCGCTCGTGTATACTCGGCTTTCCAGTGACAATGTAACACAAGGCCTGTACTTCTAAAATCGACATTCCCCAGTGACTGTTTCGTCTTCTATCCTGCCCTAACTTGCGTATTTTTCATTTTATAGAGTAGGACAAAGCATGAAGATGTTAACATTGTATCGAATATCAATTTTAAGAGTACGATCCCAGATTCGCTTGTTGGAGTCACTTCGTTTTACATTTATAAATTATACGCTGTAAAATTATGTGACTGCCATTACCACGAAGAGTTTAAATTCTTCCACTGAACTAGTACGTGGGTATCTTATTTCCATCATGCACACACAAAATTTTATATAACAAATTTCTATAAGTAATCGAAAAAGAAAAGAAAAAAATAATAGAAAACCAGATGTAACTAACAAGACAATCAACAGTATATGTGCCGCAGCGATGCAAATGTGCGGAATCTCAGTTAGTATTTACTCAA